GAGGACTCCTCGTCTCGTTGGGAAATGCCTGAATGGTGCGCGGCTGCCAGCGAGTTGCAGAAATCCTATCCCGCATCCTTAGGAAGGAGATGCTCCAGCACTCACGCCTCTGCCAAATAATGTGCGTTTGGCTTTTTCCTCCCTCTTCTTGCAAAAAAACCCCGCACCGTTGTGCATATTGTAATTTAAATGTATTTCTAGGTTTAAATAAAGAAGATTATTTGTAAAGACGTGTCAAATTGGGTGTGACGTCCTTGGCTGAGTTGCACAACGCCGAAGTGAAGAGTCTAATAAATTTCTTCGTTTTTCAGAGCAGCACTTAATTTCATCTTTTCTGGAATGGAGATTTCTTCTCACCAGTTTCACCTCTTGCAGCAACTCAATGAGCAGCGCAGGCAAGACTTATTCTGTGACTGCAATATCCTGGTGGAGGGAAAGGTCTTTAAAGCGCATCGCAATGTGCTGTTTGCCAGCAGCGGCTATTTCAAAATGCTCCTTTCACAGAGCTCGAAGGAGACGACTCAGCCGACGACAGCCACTTTCCAGGCGTTTTCTCCTGACACGTTTACCGTTATTCTAGATTTTGTGTATTCAGGGAAACTGTCTCTCACTGGCCAGAATGTCATTGAAGTCATGTCGGCTGCCAGCTATCTGCAGATGACCGACGTTATCAGCGTGTGTAAAACCTTCATTAAGTCATCGCTGGACATCAGCGAGAAGGAGAAGGATCGCTACTTCAGTCTGTCGGACAAAGACGTAAACTCCAACGGCGTGGACCGATCCTGCTTGTACAGCGCGGGCTGGAGGGCGGAAAGCAGCCCCCCGCATTCGCACTTAAGCCCGGATCAAGGGACATGTATGATGGGTGGAAACACTTGGAGCAATTTCAGCTACTACCCGCCTTCTCAAAGAAACGCCCAGCAGCAGCTGTCCAAACACGAGCAGCGGCAGGACTCCGTCAAGAAATCCCGGCACCTGGGACTGCAGCAGCCCTCAGACATTCCTCACTATAAATCAAGCAAGCTGGAGGACAGGGCTGCCGAGCCCGCTGGCCACAGCGCGCAGGCTGAGGAGCAAGTCCAGATCGAAGCCGAAGTGGAATCTCCTCACGTTGGGTACCAGTACGGCCAGGGGGCCGAGGTGATCCCGCGCAGCTTGGCTGTGTCGCAGCAGGAGCATGAATCGCCTCGTTCTTCCAGCAAATCCAAGTCTTCAAAGGCAGAGGAGCAGTACGGGAGCATGCCCTCCATCCTGGGCGTCATGGGCAGCTGGGCTGACGGTAAGGGATGGTTGTAATGCTGTCGGGGCACGGTCACCTGTGAATTGTCCATGAGAAAATGTGCTTTACCAAACCGGTGTGCAGTTACTGAGAAGATCTCTGCATGGTCCAGGAATGTACATCTGGGGAGTTTAACTCTTTATTTTTTTAGTAATTGTGAATGATTGAAGTCCCTGCTTTAGTAAAACTGGCCTATCAAAATGCATAACCTTTAGTGTCTCTACAGCTTCCTCTTGCAAATTTAATTTGGGATCTTTTGGGATATTTAAACTCATTTTAATATAGTTAATGGTCCATTCCTTTTCCTTTGTTGCACTCCTGTGTAATTTACAGGAAAACACATGATCTTTGTGCGTGATAATATTGTTTGTTAAATAAAAGTGTTTTGCTATTCTGCACATAAAACGCCTTTTCCTAGAGCGTTACATGACTACATATGTTATGACTTCTTTATTTTAAATCACCTTATTTTCTACCAGATGACCTGCCCAGGATGAGGTTCAAGTGTCCATTCTGCACTCACGTGGTGAAAAGAAAAGCAGACCTAAAGCGTCACCTCCGCTGCCACACAGGAGAGCGCCCGTACCCGTGTGAGGCTTGTGGGAAAAGATTTAGCAGGCTAGATCACCTAAGTAGCCATTTTCGAACAGTATGTATTTCCAGTAACTGCATGGTTTGTTTGACGTGTAAATCTGTCTCGGCACGGTTAAACACAGTACGAGCGTATCTGGTGGGTACAGTGATTCCCGTAAAGAAGAGGTAGTAGAAAATGAATTTGGTTTTGCTGTGTGTAAGTCCTGTAGTAGAGCTTAATTACAGCGCCTGTGATGGTTTCATCTTGAACATTTGCTGAGCATCTCTCAAAATGAGTTAATGCTGCCAGCTGATGCTATTCCAGCCCTGCTTTTTGTCATCTTGAAAACCAGTCCTTTGTGGATACATGATCACAGGTATTCGTTTCGCTTTTCCCAGATCCATCAGGCTTGCAAGCCCATCTGCAGAAAGTGCAAACGCCACGTGACGGAGCTCACGGGACAAGTGGTCCAGGAGGGGACGAGGCGTTACAGACTCTGTAACGAGTGCTTGGCCGAGGCTGGCATTGACAGTATCCGCATTGACCTGGAGGCTGAAGCACCCCTCGAGTTTCCGCAGGACGGGGAGAAGGATTCCAGGTGGCACTACGGGGACGACAACAGATCTGATGTGGAGATCGTGGAGGACGGCTCAACCGACTTGGTCATTCAGCAGGTGGATGACAGCGAGGATGAAGCAGACGAGAAGGAAGTCAAGCCAAATATTAGGTAGTTGCAAGACAAGAATTAGGAATCCTGTGTAAGAGGGAGAATGTACTGCCTTGAGCATAAGCCCTCCACCAGCCTGTTGTAATTGTACAGACCTGTACTGGTTTCTCTCCAACTTGCATGTGTTCATGGACGTGCCATTGAGTCGAGTCGGAGTTTTGTTATCAGCACACCCATGCTTTGCTTCGTTAGAAACAATCCATCCTTAAATGAAAAAAATGGATGAACGAGGACATGGAAGTACTACATGGAGAACTTTTTATAGCAGCCAGTGGGTCACTTCTCAAAAGCTCTTTCAAGGGAGTGAAGTCTAAATACTTTTAGGGGAAAAAAACCATTCACGTAGCACTGTAAATGGCCTACTTTTTAATAGAGATGTGGGTTTTATATGTAATATTGTGGTGATAAGCTATAAATACCCCCCCCACACCAGAATATTAAGAAAACCTCTCTTCAGTATTCAGAAATGAAGATAATCTTCCATGAAGTCTTCATTTTATGATAAGGAAAAAGGGCAGCTAATTAAGAAAAAGCATATAAAGATGTTTTAGCACATTCATCTGGAAAAGCACTTTCTTGTAAAATTTAGTAGAATAAGGAGAGCCTTTAGCAGATCATTTATTCGAGACGTATTTCTTTACAAGAAAATAAACACGAACGCCAGTCCTAGTCAAGACATCAGAGAGAAAATGATTACAAATGTGGGTCAGTAATCGATGCCAGTAGATTATATTCATTCTGAAAATTGGGAGATCAGACTGGGCTGTGTTTAATAAGCACTAGTAAAATACTCTTTTATTATCTTCTTTTTAAACCTCTCAGAAGTGCCAGACTGACGTGACTGGTAGCCCTGCATCCACAGCACTGCCAGTGGCGGTGCCAGCTTCTCCACTGAAGGAAACTCCTCACAGGGTCACTTTGCTGTTGTTTTCTCTCTTTATCCCCCGTTTTATTTGCCAACAGCAGCAGAACGATGTGTACAGTATATATATATTATATCATGAGAAATAGGACTGATGAGATTTTGCATCTGAAACCATTGACTACTCTTGTTTGTATTGACCTGTACTCAATTTAAAGGGGTGAGTTTTAAGATGGAGTCATTATCAATTTCTATATTCCCAGAGTCATTTGGTCACCAAGAGAACGTATTTTAACCTTTCTGAGCCTGTACCATACGCCAATGAGAACAAGATGGGCTGCAAGCTCTAGACATCAGACCTGTGTCATTTCTACCTGCAGTTAGACTACAAGACATGAGATGGCTCATGGTAAAAGTTTACTTCTATAACAAAAAAGCCACTTTGTTTTACTTGGTGAGTTTATCTTAGCCAGCTCTGTAAGTAGAAGAGGAGCAGAAGTATCCTGGGGTGCTTTTACTTTGCATTTTCATGGTCAGACCTGAGTGTTAACACAGTGTTCATCCTGTAATCATTGAACTCAATGGGTATAGGCTTAGAAAGCTTTATATTTTTTTTCTTTTTTACGACTTTGTAAGCATGTTTGGCTGAAACCTGGGGTTAACTACAGTACAATCCATATATGCTATATAATCTTTTTCCCAGGGACAGCTAAAAAGTCACTCTTTTCTTTTTATTTGTGTAAAAACTGTATAGCCTTATTAGTATCATCATTACCAGTGAGTGCAGCATTTTCACTGCAGGCTGCAGGTGCCCAGCAATGGTCTCTCCAGTAACGGCTTGAGCGCTTCCGTCGAGGTTTGCAGCGTAAGCAGCGAGCGCCCGTCCCCTCCGACGTGCTGGGCTGTGAAGGAGCAGCCTCCTTGTGTGTTCTCAGGAGACGAGAAGTGGGGTTTTATTGTCCCTACAAAAATTGGCGTAGACGTGGGGAGGGGGTTGAAGGGGGGGATTTACAAACCTTCCTGACGGCCCAGATGCAACCATGTTTTCCAAATGAGATTTACACTTGCCTCGATTCTTTTTTCGTTGCGCTTTGGTCAGCAAAGTCCACAAACCGGACTTGATGTGGAAACAGCTGGTTCATTTCTTGGAGCTTACTACTCCTAAAATGCATCTTACTAAATGGCTAAGAAATACTCGTGAGCAACCTTAATGAAATCAAGTCAAGAACAAAGAAACATATAAAAGAATACGGAATGAGTTGGATGAAACTGCAAGAGAAAATGCTTGCTGAAATCAAATTTCATAGATTTTTCCATTTCCCTTGACATTAAACAGTATCCGCAATAAATTCCAGGTGTCAGTGCCTGCTGTCCCAGAATACAAAGTGGCTGGGATTAGTGTGCGTGTTTGGGGATGGATTAAGGGGAGGGGATAATAAAGTGGCACTCTCAGCCTGCAATCTCGGCTACCGACTGTAAAGGTGAGACCATGAAGTGTTTCTGTGTACTTGGGGGCGTTTTTAGAAGCAAAGGGACTTTTGGATCAATACTCGATCGAATTAGATGCCATAAATCTAAGAACACTGAGGACCAGATGCTTCAGAAAAAGATGTGAAGTGGCTCTAATGGGCAAATGGAACAATCTATCCTTACGAAGACGTTTGCTTTTTAAATCTAGGCAGATGAATCGGTGATTTGCCTGGCAAACAAGCGTTTTTTTACTGTTTTGATACGTTATTGTTATTCTCAGTAGCATAACTAGGTATCTGTAGTCGTTTTTAAAGTATCTTATTAAGCTTGGAGTTTTAGCTCAAGACTGAAATTCCCACAGGTCAATTATGTTTTGTATTTCAAAAAGTTACCATTTTTACATTTGTTGCCTTAATTTCCGTTGTTGTTCCCTTATTTTTGTACCGCAAGACAAGATAAATGTTAAGTGCCTTATATTTTCTACGTCCTTCATTTTACATAGCATTTTGCTTGTTTTTCTCTGAATGAAAGTAATCCGATTTGTTTTCTTTTCACCTCCTTGCATTGCCTGTGTCTCCTTCATAGTCCTGTTAGGATCACGTATCACTCATGAGCAGAAGGGACATTTCAGTTCTTATCGAGGAGGAAAGCAAGGACCACGTAGGGTTTTTCCCACATAACTTAGTTACCAATAACTGATTTGAAGGTGTTACTTTTCAAACTTTGCCCAGTCACGAGTAGGACACCTGAATTTATCTTTAAATGCTGGAGATGGCTGTAGAGAACCGCACCGAATCCTGCTAACGCTGCTCCGTTCAGATGGTCCCTGCCTCTGTACCTCTGATGTTGCTCTGAATGCTCTTCAATACCACTTAATTTGGATTACTCACCAGTGTTCAGTACATTCTCTTGTCATTTGCTTTTCCATTCCCTGTTTCTGCTAAAACTGGAGGGATGTCCCATTCAAGAGATGTTCCTCTCGTTTACCTCTCTCTATTTCATGTGCAGTCCTTGTGTCTTTGTCCTTTCCTCTGAGCTCTGTCACTGAAATCTTGCCTCTTTTTGCTTGGCTTGTGCCTATCGTTGTGTCACAAAACCAAGAGGGAAGACGCAGATTCCTCACCCTCTGTTTAGTGCCCCACCTTTATCCTTATTTTCTGCCAACTTTCTTGCCATCCTTTCAAAAGCTGAAACACTGAATTAAAGAACGTTTCTCCTTCCCCCTTTTCAGGTGTTACAAAATTCTACCTGCCACATAAACCTGTGATTCGTGTGATACTTGATTAGTTTCTCTCCTTCACATCATATCCCACTTTTTTGTTTTCCATTAAATTATTTTAACTTTTGTACTTGCTATCCCCCAAGATGACACTTGTCCTTACCTTAGAGGTTCAACTGTTAGTTGGGGGTTTTGTTTTGTTTTGTTTTGTTTTCAAAATTAATTAAAAAAAAAAAGAGCAGACCCCAAAAAATAACCTCAGAATGAATCTCCCTTTCCAACCTTTTGGTCTATATTCTATTCAAGTTCTAAAGAACTTAGATTAAAAAAAACCTGCAAAAAGAGTGATTTAATGTGAGCTTTGAAAATATCTGTAAGTCCACAGGTGTCTAGCAGAGGGCTGACACCGACTGCTACGTGTGTCATCCTTCCTTACTCCTGGCTCTTCAGAAGAAATAACCCATTCTCCAGCATTTTGGGATCCTTCTCAATGATAAATTAGGAAAAAAAATGTTGGGTATAAAATGATGGAATATATGGAATATGCTACATTTCTTCCCTGAAGCATCTGGTCACTGTCAGAGGTCATCCCGTTACCTAGCTGTGCCAGTGTCTACCTTCCTTATATTTTGGTCTCAGACTGCAGAAATTGCAGGCTTTGAACTTCATATAACCTACGCAGGGGCGTATCTTCAGCCTCGTTTATTCTTTAAATGGCCCTTGATTGAGGTGCAAAAAGCCTGATCTACCATCTGGCTCCAGCTGAGGCAATGGCTGTGCCCAGAGCCCCCGTTTCCCCTGTGACAATCGCTGTCTGTCAGCGTAACAGCAACGCTGTGCAGTGGAGTGTCCATCCAAAAACCTTCACTGCAGAGGGCTAGCAGAGTCGGAATGGGCGTTAAGTGAGGGTTACAGCTAAACTAAACTTGCTTACTTGAATTTATTAAAAAAGCTTTTAAAAAAAGCATCTTGGCATAGCTGTTGTAGTAAACTAAAACATGAATGAAATTCTGTGCCACACTCTGACCTGACACTTTTTATTGTGAAAGTGGGAACTGATCTTTTTCATGTTCTAACTGAGCTTGCTTTGAGGAAGGGATTGTGCCAGCTGATCCGCAGAGGTTCCTTCTCCAAATTATTCAGTGAGCTCAAGGAACAAGATTGAAAGTGTCTGGTCTTCTAACAAGCATCCTGATTTGATTTTCTATTCTTACACAGAAGGGAAAAAAAGGACGATCTGTTGTATTGCACCTCCACTTGCAGTACTTTGGTTTCGGATCATCTCCATTGTTTGAATACAAAACTTCCCTGTTACAAAAAAGCTGCTATATTGAGTAATGTGATATACCAAACACCACAGAACTACAGATATTTCCCATTCAGATGGTGCCTTCTTTCCACATACAAAGATATCCAGACTGGCCCTCCACAACAGCGGTGCATCGTCTGTGCTAAGGCAGCGGGGCCTCC